TCGACCTCTTCCTCCTCAGGCACATGTTCATCAAAGCCCCATTGGAGGATCCAGTTATGCAGAATGCAACAAGCAAGAACTAGCTTAACCTGAGTGGAGTATGGGTGGAATGGCTTCTGATCTAGGATCTTAAACCTATTCTTCAGAGCTCCAAATGCCCTCTCAACAGTTACTCTAAGGCTGGAGTGTCTGAGATTAAACAGCTCATGTGCAGTCCTAGGAAAGTTCCTACCAGAGAACTCGTTGAGATGGTACCTTGTTTCCCTCAAGGGTGGAAGAATACCCGTCCGACATGCATAGCCAGCATCTCCAAGGTAGAACTTGCCGTCAGGGATGTTGATCTCATCAGGTCGACTCATGCTATCAGTGAGAATGTTAACATCATGCGCTGACCCTTCCCAGCCAGCCAGCACATATGTGAACTTCAGATCAAAGTCAACAGCAGCAAGCACATTCTGGCTTGTGTAGTGCTTCCTCCCCCTGTATGCTACAGACTGTGACCTAGGAACTCTGGCAGTGACATGAGTACCATCTATTGCCCCAATGCAATCCTGAAAATGGCATCACTAGCCTGTGTTAGTGCTCAACTTGAACAATACAAGCATATCAAGCCATGGAAAGTGTATATTGTCAATGCTCACCTTGAAGTAGGATACCATCTTGGGTTCCGCGAATCTTGGGTGGAGTCTGGCCAGATGGTCTCCTGATCATCTCTCCTCTAAGCTCCCCAACAGCAAAAAGCACTTGCTTGAAGTACCTAGAGATGGTCTCCATTGATCCCCTGAACGTGTTGTGAATGACCCAGAACCTCTGGTTATGGCCAACAACATGGAGGAACATGACCACTTGCTCTTCGACACTAGTGTTGATGCTATCTTGTAACAGGCCCCTGCTCCTGAAGGTCTCGACAAGCCTGGCAAATGGTGCTCTTTTCATTCTAAGCATCCACAAAGCCTCGACGTCATTGCAGTTGTAGATGTAGTTTAGATTTTGGATACTCTCCTGTTCCCGGGGAAACAATGGACCATAGCGGACCAAAGGTCTCCCAGCACGACGAACAGCTCTTTGGTGCATGAACATGACCCATGCCTGAATCACACTAATCAGTGCTGCTGCCTGGATTATCAGCCTCATCCGTGCGTACATAACCTAGTCAACATCGACGGTTCATTCAGTGGGAAATCGATCCTCCACCTAGCTTAACGGCCTAATAAAGGGGGGAGGGAGCGCTGCTTACTGGCATCAGAGACGAGGACGGCGTAGGGGGAGCCATGGCACAGACTAGGTCGACCAGACGGTGGCCAACAGTAAGGGGAGCACTAGATCCGCCGCAAACGCCGCCGCCGCCGCCTATAGTGCAGATCTGAAATTGCAGGCGCAGCCGGTGGTGAGGCAGTAGGGAAGAAAGGGAGGCAGTGGCTATGGGTGAGCGAGTGAAAGGGGGTGAGGCTAATTTGGCGCCGGGACGGCGCGCCAGATTTCCATCTCCCGCCATCCCCCCTCGCCCTCGCCTTGCTCCCGCCCGTGCGACCTCACGCTACACTCAGCCTGGCTCGCAAGAAACTGCCGATCCGAGCGATTCTAGCGAGCCGGGCTCTGGGCTGCTTTGAGAAGCGTGCGATGCAGGCCCAACAGGAAAACCAGGCAACCAAACGGGCCTCTCCCTTCCCGCGCGGGCCTGGTTGGGCTCGATGCGGGCAACCAAACATGCCCTCGTCTACGCCAATGGCAACTCCAGCATCTCCGTAAGAGCATCTACAGCCGCAGATAGCAAATCCGGGCCCTCAAATGCGTGCAGACGCGCCCGTACGCTTCCACGTGCACTGGTCGGGCACTCCTCAAATCCCGTCGTCCACGTCTGTGTATCTCATATCCGGTACCCTATATCCATACTAAAGCATGCAACGTAGAACTAAACAACGTAGATCATCAAACGGACATAGAAATGCACATTCCGATCTTCAAAAGATCGCCAAAGTTCACATAATCCACATAATCGACAGACAAGTTTAAACTAGATTACTAAAAACTTGAAATTAAAAAGGAGAAGGTTCACCACTTCCTCGCTGGCCCTTTGCTCTTCCGGTCCCCACGGCTGTAGGCGTCGGTGGCTCGTGGAGGATCGTCTGAGTCGTCGAACGAGGAGCCGTGGTCGTCGTCGGAGGAGGAGGTGTCGGAGACGATGATGAGCCCTTTCGTCCGCTGGATGGCCTTGTCCTGGTGCCGCTTGAGCTTCGCGAGCTGAGTCGCCTCGCGCTCAGACTGCTCAATGGCAACCCGGAGCGCCTTGGTGTTCTTCTGGCGGAGCCGCCGTGCGTCCGTCTCCGCGGTCGTAAGCGACCGGCGGTAGACCCAATCGAGGAGCCGCGCACCCTTATCGGGCTCCTCCTGCATCCCGCGGCAGCGGCGCACGGACTGCTCCACCTCCTTCCTCTCCCTTTCCCGCTGCCTCTCGCGGCGGGCGGCGCGCGCCACCGATTCCAGCATGCATGTCCGGGCCGGCGGGGCGGGCACAAACACCCATAGCTGTCCACGTGAGGAAGTAGCAGCCGGCTGGGGCAGGGGACGACGTAGGGGAGGCGCGGACTGCGCAGGCCTATCGGAGCCGCGCACATGCCGGGAGGGGCCAGCATCGGCGTCCGTGCTACGTCGGCGGGGAGCTGCGTCTACAGGGACGCTGCAGACCCGGAGTTGCCCCCGGTCTCCACCTTGGATCGCTCCAAGGCAATGCGGAGGGCCAGTTGAAAGTCGGGATCCAGCTCGGAGTTGGAGCGGCTGCTGGAGCTCGACATTGGGCCGAATTGAATTCGATCGAAATCGATGCGGGAAGAGGAGATGACAGAACGAGAGAGGAGAGTGGAGTGAGTTAGGGTTTGGAGCGAGGAGCCGGATAGGGTTTTTTGTGGGACAACTATGGGGTCGGTAATGGGCCGGGCTTGTCAGGCGAACGCGTCCGGGCATGCTCGGGCCGCCTCATATTTGGGCTGGATATGAGGGGCGCCGAACAGTCTGGACGTCTCAGGATGGTTTGAGGTGTTCAGATGGGTCGGTTTTTTGTGACCGGTCAGTCCGCCCGGACGTTTGAAACGGATTTGGAACGCCCGGCTGTAGATGCTCTAATTAGAGGGACAGAGGGTCTCCTCGCCTTGTCTAGCCGAGACGTGATCCATGAGAGCTCATATACGCTGCCCGTGAGCGTCCGAGCAACGCGGCTTTGCTGAAGCGAAGCGCAAACGGGCCGACCCAATAAGCATGTGTCGAGCAAAAATTCGAAAATGAAGCTCACAAGTTGGGATCGAACTACCGACCTCATTCTGGATCCAAGCGAGCCAACCAGCCGAGCTAGCTACCTACAACAGTAAAGTTGCAGCGCCTATCTTAAAGTATAAAAGGCAGCGGCAAATCATGTTGTTTTTTAAAATAAATATTTTTATAATATGCGTTGAACAAACTTTAAAATACAGAGACCTTTTTTTTAAACAAACACTGGAAGATTTTTAAAATACACAACTGAACATTTTGTAGTATACGTTGAACAAAAATTTTATATATGATGAACAAATTTTAAATACACAATGAGCTTTTTTTAATATACGTTGAACAATTTCATAATATACTATGAACATTTTTGTAGTACACGATGAACAATTTTAGAATGCAAGGTGCACTATTTCATAATATACGATGAACATTTTCTTAATATGATGGAGATTTTTGTAATACGCGGTGAATTTTTTATATAATGCGTAATAAAGAGAAGAAAAACAGAAAGAGAAAATAAAAAGGAAACATAAAAGAAAAAAGGAACCAAAAAAGAAAAATAAAAAACAGGACGAAAACAACTGAAAACTGGGCAAAACAGTGAAAACACTGGAAGAAAAAATCGTAGAAGAAAAACGAAAAAAAAACCCGCAAGGAATAGAGAAGGAAGCGGCAGCGAACGCATCGAACGGTAAACGCTAATCCCGTACATGGGCCGGCCCAACCGATGGCTCTCTCAGCGAAAGCACAACATTCTGACGCTAACGAGCGTCAAATAAGGTTTGCCGTGATCCGTGACAGTGATGCCAGATCATGGCCCCAGACCGAACGGACGGGTAGGCAGGGCGCCAATACGTCTGGCTATTTTTCTCAGGTGTGTACGCATGTGCCTCTTTTTTTTTTTATGTGCCTGCTGATAATCGAAACACCATAACAGACCAGCGAGTTTGGCGATTTTCAGGCCCCTCTTGCTGTCGTCTCTATTATGTGCCACGCTGACCACGACCTGGGACGGCCCAAAGCCAAAAGCGTAAGACAGATGGTGCCCCCAAGTGCAAATGAAGGTCAGTCAAGACAAATAATACCTCCGCACTGACCCATTTTTTAAGTTGCGGTAAATGTGCATGACACTTGAAGATTCGGACCCGTTCAGAACCAGTGAGACAACAAGCTTCTGCAGTGCAACAAGAACCTGAGATGGTGGCTCATTTTGCCGGAACCTCCATCTAAATCACCACAAGGCTCATTTTATTCTTTCATACTTCGTTATATCTCATCATCCTTTTGTCACCGCAGTTCTTCATGGTGATTCTTCATGATTTAATTCATTCTTCAAGAGTTCATCAAGATTCTTGTTGGAGGAGTTCAAGTATCTTTTCTTCTCGCGTATCGAAGTGCAAATAATTCTTCATTTTCTTCTGACATGGAGTTTTGCATTTCTTCGTACTTCTCAACTATTTAGACATTGGCTTGTGGCAGAGTTTCACCTTCAAGTTTTGAGATATTTTTCCATAGGTCCACAATAAGCTAGTTCTTTCGTTGTTGATTTTCTCAAAAACTCCTACAATCCTTCCTTGTAGTCCTTTTAAGTTGCGGCAAAATGGCTAATGGTAAGTAGGAGCTAGTACAGAGCTAAAGAAACAAAACTGATTCCTGGACATTTCCCCCTCATTTTCAAACAATACAATTACAGAAGAGAAGTAATCCTCCATGATACAAGCTACATTGTGCAGCAGTCATCAAAGGTCCTGCTGCTTCTTGTCCTGGGCAATCTTCTTCCGGATCTCCTGCGCTGCATTGAAGATGCCAAGCGTCGGTTTATTGCAGACAAAGCACTTCTTGTTCTTCGAGTGATGCTGAAATCAACAGATGAAGATGGTCAGAACTTTATAGTTGTTTTCTTTGTACAATTACTCGGTAACTCTTGAGTAGCTAGATGGAATTTCGTAAGAGAACACCTAATGTTTTTGTTAGTCAAGTTTCCATGTGGATTAAATAAACCCTAGAATGTTGACACAAAAGACTACAACGGACCCATGCACTCGTGACACGTAGCACGTAACATCAAATTGTATGCAACAGGTTGGCTGTGCAGAATTTATGTTTCCAGACTCCTTGCTCGCATTCTCTATAGATCTGGGCTAACTATGCAAGCTCTGTGAATGCACTTCCTAGAACGTAGAGACTAACGAATAAGTCATCTAACTATGCAAGCTCTGTGCATGCACTTCCTCCATATCAAAGGAAAAAAACTTATCTATTGACGAGTATATTTTCCATATTCCCTTTGAATCCCATTGGCATCTCTCTGTATATGTATTATTTTATTATTTGCACACAGGACAGGCCGTAAGAAAGTCCTATGCAATCAAATAAGGCTCTGTAACTCCAACAGAAAGATGCACCAAGCAAATAATATTTCAATTATTAAGCAGCCATGCATGGTACTCTCTGAACTAATATTTTTCAATTAAAAAAACATTCATATCAAGCAGCTAAATACAGATAGGAAAACGAATTTATAAGAACTCACAAATCAAATATAAACTTGGACTTGACCTTCTAAAGGGAAAATTGGCTGCAGGACACCGTTAAAACCTGCCTTTTGCCACGACACACTGAAAAAGGCTGGCTTTGCCGAAAGCCACTGCAATTTTTCATTCCTTTGCCACAGGACACTCCAGCCGAAAGGGACAAGGATTTGTCCAAATTGCCCCCATCCCATACGGATAGGCAGGGCCACATGAACAGGAACAGAACACTCCTCGCTGGGATCCCCTCCTCGCTCGCATCCCTCTCCAGCCGCACGAACACCAGCCGCTGCTGCCCCTTGTACCCCCGCAGCCGACGCCCTTGTGCCCTCGCAGCCGCCGCACTTGCGCCGCCGCCGCCCATTATTTCTCCTCCGCCTCCCGTGATGCAAGGAAGATAGAAGATGGCGGCCGGGCAATCCATCAGCAAGGCGCCCCCGCTGGAACAGCTTGACCTCTCATGGGTTCCCGACGGGTAAGTCTTCCACCAACTGAAACTAGGGTTAACATGAGATGCGAGTTAGATGCGCTCATGGGTGTGTATTTGCGAGCAAAAGAGGGATGTTGATTCCACCTCTCTTTTGTGCCTTTTTTCTGTGTAGGATGGATCCCAGTTCATCCTACAGGCTTGCTGTACATGTAGGTGCCTATGTGAAATTGACAGATGATGGCACTCGCCAGTATTGTGCTGCTTGCAGCATTGCTAAGGCTTTAGACAGGGATATCACTAATTGGGCCGATTTGAAAGATGATGTTGGTACAAAGATTAAGCTGGGATCTAACCACAAGTTGCGTGTGACTTATTGGGACAAAGAGAGTCGTAGCTATGAAGAGGTTACTTCTGACCAGAATTTGCTTAATGCAATTGACATGTACTGGGAGATAAGAAAGCTCCCACTGCAAGTTTGTGTTCTTAAAAATGATGATACAAGTGTTCTGGATGATATTGGACGGCTGCAGAGCATGCCTGGTGTGCTGCAGGCAAGCATTGATGCCCCACTGCAGGCAAGCATTGATGCCCCAGCTAGTGAGGTTATTTTAGATGCTCCAGTTGACATTGCTAACTCTCCAGTTCAGGAGAGTACTGATGTTCCTTGGGTAGATGATGATGTTGAATATGTTGGTTTGAATGATGAAGATCCATACAAGTCTTTGCTTTCTGAATCATCCGATTCTGAATTAGATGATGGTGTGCAGTATGTTGGTTTGGAGGATGACCTGGTTGTGGATGATACAGAGGGTTGCAAGACAATGGTGCATGCAACTGACTTAGAAAATCCAACAATAGAAGTTGGGGTAACTCTTGCAGATGGTGATAGTTTTAAGAAGGCTATTAGGCAATATGCAATCTTAGATGAATATGAAATTGCAGCACCATATTCTGAATCAAAAAGGTATAGAGGGAATTGCCAAGCTGAAGGGTGCAAGTGGCGAATACATGCATCACAATTGCAGGATGGAAAGACTTGGAAGGTATTACTACAATTTTTTTAGTTTTTCCTCTTTTGCGTTTGCTTTTTTAGTATTAATACATATTTTTATTTCATTTAATGCAGATAAAGAAGATACCTGAGGAACACACTTGTGCTAGCACCGGTCAAGTGGAGAAAAACATACAAACAATCATTGGCTCAGAGATAGGGTTATTAGCTGGCTTGCGAAAGACCCTACAATTGGTGCTGTAGCATTACGGAAAAGGCTGGAAGAACAATATCACATGAAGATATCAAATTGGGTAGTATGGGATGGAAGAAGAATGGCTTTGGACGAACTGCAAGGGACGTGGGATGACAGCTTTGAGCATGCCTTCAGTTTTAAGACTGAGGTGGAGAAGACTAACCCAGGCAGTTTGGTAGACATTGAATTTGAGCAGGTTGGGGAAAAGATGATTTACTAGAATGTTTGTTGCCCTCAAAGCCTGTGTGGATGGTTTCTTGACTGGCTGCAGGCCTGTCCTTGGTGTGGACTCCACACATCTGACTGGAAAATGGAAGGGTCAACTTGCATCTGCAACTTCTATTGATGGGCATAATTGGATGTTTCCAGTGTGTTATGGCGTGTTTGGCTCGGAAACAAAAGAAAATTGGGCTTGGTTTTTCCGCAGACTTCACCAAGCTATTGGGTCCTCTCCAGGCCTAGTTATCTTAACAGATGCAAGCAAAGGTATTGATTCTGCTGTTACAGTCAAGTCTTCAAACATGGGGTTGAGCACAGGGAGTGCATGAGGCACTTAGTTGCTAACTTCCAGAAAAGATTCCAAGGTGAGGTCTTCCAAAAGCACTTGTGGCCAGCATGTAGAGCTTTCCAGAGTCATAGGTTTGAAGAGCACTACAATCTGATGTATGAAGCTTGTCCTGAAGCCATGAGGTGGATACATGATAATCACAAACACCTGTGGACAAGGCACTGGTTCTCTGAAGCAAGCAAATGTGACTATGTAACAAATAACATAGCTGAAACATTCAACAGCTGGATTAGGCATGAAAAGTCCCTACATGTAATTGATCTGATGGATAGGATAAGACAGCTATGCATGGAAATAATGTACTTGAGAAGAAAAGTTGCCAAGAAGTTTATAGAAAAAATTCTGCCCAACATCATAAAGGACCTTAATGCAAGGAGTAGGGGACTGCCCTATACCTTCAGGTATTCACATAAAGATAGTGGCAAAGACAGTGAAATGTTAGCTGAAGTTGAAGGTGTTACAAAAGATCTAGTTCCTTGGAGGCAAAGTGTTGATCTTCATGAGAGAAAGTGCAGTTGTAGGCGATGGCAAATTACTGGACAACCATGCACACATGCCCTGAAGGTTATCACTTCAATTCGAGGGTATAAGATCGAAGACTACATCCATGAATACTACTCTGTGGCAAAGTTTAAGAAAGCCTATGGAAAGTCTATTAAGCCAACTATCGATAGAAAACAGTGGCCTCAAATCAACCCCGGGTTCAAGCTGTGGCCTCCAATTTTGAAAAGAGCAGCCGGGAGACAAAGGAATAGAAGATACAAGTCAGCTGCAGAAGGAGGTTCTGGAAAGAGAACAACAAAGTGCAAAAGGAGCAAGCAACTTGGACATATGCAGAAAACATGCAATGAGTTTGTCTATGATTCTGATGCACCACCGCCTGCCCCTCCAAAGCCTAAGAGAAAAAGAGGCAAGAAAAAGGTTACTGTAGTGCCATCCACAACTGCTATTCCGACACCAACTAAAGTTATCACTGCTGCTGTTTCTACACCAAGCCCTTTAACAAGGAGGTACAATTGCAATTTTCATATTTTTCATCATTTTAGATTCCTTCTGGACTTGATTTGACAGGCTTGTATCATATAGCCGTAAGAGGCTGTTGGAGCTTGAAGGCACTTCCGTGGAGCTACTTGCATCTCCAGCTGCTGCTACACCAACTAGAACTATAACTGATGTTGTTTGTACACCAAGCCCTATGACAAGAAAGTATGACAACAATTTCCTTAGTTTCAACTTGTTTGTATTACTTCTTGTTATCTCAATTTTACATGCTTGTATCTCATGTCACAGCCGTAAGAGATTGTTGGAACTTGAAGGCGCATATATAGAGCCAGTTGCATGTCCAGCACTCTCTCCATCTGACGCCAATGATTGGAATGAGAAGGGCAAGGCTAAGAAGTTGAAGTTTGTGAGGGCAAAGAAAAAATAGGCAATGTAGCCTGCGATGTTATTCACAAGTAATAGTTGATTGTGAACTTGTATTGTCTGTATTTTGGTAGCATACATATTGCCAAATGTGGCTGAACCTGCTATTGCTTTTGCTGAACCAACTAGTGATGGTGAACTAAACTGGGGAACTGTGATGTTATTCACATGAGCATGTTGTTATGTTGATTTGGTGCTTGCTGTACGTGTCTAGGGGCTGAAACTCAAGTGATGTGGTCTGGTTGAGCAACAGGGGTGTGAGCATCTTATTTATAAGGTTCTCTCGCCTGTTTGAGTAGGAAATGATACTAGAAAGGCTAGAGTGTCCTGTGGCAAAAGAAAGAAAAACTGTAGTGGCTTTCGGCAAAGCCAGTCTTTTTCAGTGTGTTGTGGCAAAAGGCAGATTTTAACGGTGTCCTGGAGCCAATTTCCCCCATTCTCTAAATGTAATGCAGTGCTGCATGCTATATGGGCCATATGGCTGAAACTTGAACCAACAAAACATTCAGCTAGTCCAAAAAAAAAAATATCAGCTAGTATGGACACAGAAATTTATTTCCACCACACTGCCATGTATCCATAATCATATGGTGCTTTATGTAATATAGGGTAAGTTCATATATATCTGGGCTGAATCCACAATATTTCCAGAACTAGAGGTCGTGTGCAAGTGCTGATGTTTCAATAGTTCATGGCTCGAACTCAAACAATCATAGTTCCACGTTACACACAAACTATTAGCCTAGCTATGCAGATGAACTAGATTTTCAACATGACAAACTTATTGATTGCATAGATGAGTAGGCATAATTATCAGCACAAAATCAGAACAAACTGCGGGGTACCTTTAATGCGCAATGCTCGCAGAAATAATGCTTACACTTTGTGACCACCGGGTCAACAAAGGGCTCCCTGCATATGAAGCAGGCAAAGGGCAGTGCCTCCTCGTCGTCGCTGTCTTCCTCCTCTGCCTCGCCATCACTACCACCCAACTCACGCATCGCTATGCGCCGTTTGCGGGCTTTCTCGGCCTCGTCCCACTCCCTCTCGAGCTGCCATCCGGACTTGTAGTCACCTCTGTCGTGCATGAACTTGCAGGAATCGCCATAGCCACAATAGCCGGTCTCCTTATAATCCTTGCAGATGTCGGGTTGGTAGTCGAACCGCGTGGAGAGGCGTATGTGCGCTGACGCCCGCAGGGGGCCGTGAGCGCCGCCGGCCTTCTCTCCGGAAACCGTGTGCTCCCGCCGGAAGCCGGCCTTGTGATCCGTGTAGCCGTGGATCCCCTTGTAGAGCTCCCCGGAGGAGGAGGAGGCAGAGGGGTTCTTCTTGAGGGATTCCTCAGCCTGCTTGAGCTGTCGCTCGCGGATGGCGCGCGCATCACGGTCGTACGCCGTCTCCGTCTCAAGCGTCGCAGTGGCGCGGTTGTCGGTAGAGGACTGAATAGTCCGGGACGACTCGAACTGGAAACGGCGGGGCTCGTGTGAGTTGTCGGCGGAGGAGAAGAAGAGCTTGCTGGTAGTA